TTGACGCAACACAAGGTGAACTCGTGGTTGTTAAATACGAATGGAACGCGGAATTATGAAATGACCGTTTGATATTGTTTCTGTCCGAAAGGAAGTATAATCTCCCAAGAAAACACGGTTATTTCAGTGAGAAAACAATGAGTCAATAGCATACATCAGGAGCACGAAGTGGTTTCAGAAACATGTACGCCGTTTGCGTGATGTGTACACTAATCGGCTGGCTGGCTGGCTGGCCGAACAACCACCACGTGGTCTCAGCTAGTTGGTTCGGGTTAATAGTTCAGCGGTAGTGTTCCAGGGCGTGGTGGGCTTTCGCTTGGCAAGCGTTCCCCCTATAAAAAGCCACAAATGTCTGCTTAACAATACTGTGACGCGGCGGATTTGACTCGCCACTAAATAAAGTCACTGTCTTGCCATACCGGAGGATCTTAAATGTTTTGTCAACGTCAACTACTTTAAAGATTTCATCTGATCCCTTCCTATATTGGCGCATTCACCGAACAAACTCACAAATTCACAGTAATACCAACAAATTCACACAACACGATTAATTACACATGCACCCACATATATCCATCATGTACTGGTTAAATCGTAACATTTCTGTACCCCCTACTGATGTTGCGCGTTTGTGCCACCACGATCGTGCCTTTAAAGGCGTGTCTCGCACCGTAGAGAATAAATTGTTTATTTATTTATCACTGATCAGTGCGGATCTAAATTGTCAGTTTGTCAACTGACCTAGTGGACTAGTATGTTTGCGTTGATTCGCAGCAGCTAATCTTTCAACAGCTTATTGCGCCAAGTCGTTGATTTCATTATTTTACATGCGGAACGAGATCGGTTCGATAGGGATCGCTTAGAAATGGGAAGATCTAGCAGTTTGCCATGTACAGGGCAGCGGAACTCAATTTGAATCGAATACACTCCTGCGAATCCAAACCATTGGTTTGAATTTCAGGAAGAACATCGTTCAGAGAGTAACTCGAATGTGAGTGACCACACGAACTATATGAGAAACCGAGCCCAGGCCAGAACGATTGTACTAACTCGTAGGTCCCATGGTATTTGTAGCATGGTTCACTCGGCGATATAGAACATCTATGCTCCCATGGCGATTGAGTTCAAAATCCGACTTGACCGTGCACTCATTTCGCCGCACACACGAATGTCTGTTAGAAACTTCATTTCCGGTCAACTCCCAGAATAGGTTCCACCATTTTCACCTCACGCACTTGTTTACCAGGACACGTCATGATTTTTACAAACGTCCCATTTGTCGTCACTCTTTAAAGACGCACAGTGGATTTACAGTTTTTGATACCTATACCTCGGTAAGTCCAACGGTGTGAACTTACTTTTTCTGACACCGTTTCCATATATTGTAATATTCACTTTGACCATCCTACGGGACCTGTCAAGCTGTGGATTTTGTTTACCGGTATAATAAAACCATTGTTCTATCTTAGACGGAAGTGAGTAGCGTGGTACAAGGGTGCCACTGAACCCGGGTGCAAGTGCGGACCCATGCATGTGAGACCACTGGGTGTTGCGTAGGCTTAACCATACCTTTTCTCATCCAATGGAATCTACAACACTTTCAAATTCCTTCTTACGGAAATCAGGTTCCCTCATAGATCTCTCAAGTTGCATCCCATGAGCACGAACGTTTTTAAATGCTACGGCCCAATGAGTGACCAAACCCAAATCAATCAATAGCATCCCATTATGCGCGCTCATCTGTTTTAATATCTATTTGTTTGAGATAAGTCAGTCAACAAACAGTAGGTATTTTTAAGAGTTGGATGCAACTTGAAACCGTTAAGGAGCAACTTGAGAGATCTATAGAGGAACATGATTCCCTCAGGGAGGAATCTGGAAGCGCTATGGATTCATTTGTAGGAAAAAGGTATAGACCGGTTTTGGAGAGACATGTGGATCCCACAGACGTAATGGCCCTCCGCGAAAAAAAACGATGTCTGGACCTCGATAAACATTCTACATTTCAGGAAAACACAAGCTTCTTTTATATCTCCTATCCATTAGAGCCACTGACGAATTGGCGCATTTCATACGGTCGATCCTCCCAAAGTGGAAATTACAGATCAATTCTCCACTTGCTATTATCGATTTGGATCTATCGACGCGAGTCAGCGATAGATCGGCCTGGGGTCATTGATATTCCCTCACCAACTACCACCACATCCTCCTTTTTTCGTATTTCTCGAGTTGCAGTTTCCCTACCCTCGTCCACTGTGGGCGAGCTTGCGGTCTACTCTCTCACTGAACAGAAGCTGCACTGCACTGTAGCTGAATTCGGTGGAAAGCGTAGTTCTCCCCAGTCGTATGAGATAGAGATCATCATACGTCTCTTTGACTTTCTTGAGAGCCTACACTGCAGTCAACCCTATCGGGTGTACCAACAAGTCGCTCCTGCTTTTGTGACAACCGTGCCACACTGCACTCCACTGCGATGCATTTTCTCGGACAGTGTACTTACAGTGGCTCTTGAATCAAGCCTTGACGGTACTGGTGGTCGTTGAATCTGTGGTATTGCAGGAATGCAATGCTGATCTTCCTAATTTTCTAAGTTGTTTGGTGAAGGCTCTTGCGACTCTCGATGGCTTTCAGTTTCGGCTAAATGAATCTCGGTCGCTCGGTGGCAATGATTCAAAGAATATGATAGATCATCACAATATCACTCAAATCGCCCGGTTCATGGTCATAAAGATTCCAGGCCTCCATTATCCGCCTTGCTTCACAGCCGAGTATCTGAACATTGCCAACTGGATATTCATCCATCTGGATCAGCACCGCGAATTCCATCCAATTCACTTTTCACACTCTCCAGTTGTCCGGCAATATGCTTTCGCTCATCTCTAGGGGGGTTGGCAATGGGGTCAGCGATTGCTCCTCAATGGCGAACGGGGTTTGGAACCACTGTACCTCCGTCACCATGTCGTAATGGCACTCCGTGGATATAAAGCTATGTCTAGGCTTCCACCAACATTCCATATTTTAGAAAACACTAGTTCATCAGTTAGATTCACTCACAAACTGGCTCACTAGATTCGGTCGATCTTCTAGTGACAATTACTTGAGTGTTTTCGCCAGTCCAGATCAATTATTCACTTGCTATCATCGATTTGGGGCTATCGACGCGAGCAAGCGAAAGGTCGGCCCGGGGTCATTGATGCTCGCTCGACAGCTATCACCACAGCCATGACAGTAGATTTGCTAGGAGATGGTCATTGTTTTACCCGCTGTAATCTCACTGTTCTTGATAATCGGACTCTTTGGGGTGGATGTTGTGTTCACCAGCTGGGTGTCTTGCCTACCAGGGTTTTCGAGCAACGCATACACAGTGTTGCCGTGGATTGCCGAAGGAGAGACGCACGACCATCTTCCGGTGCAGCGTGAATCCCACTTTCCTACTATGACGCATGCGAGCAAGTCATTTCGTGTTGGGGGGGAGAAACATCAACAAACGGGTGTGGAACATAAGCTCCACAAACACACAAACGTGTGCCCACCGTAGTTTACGTCGGCTAGTTCAACGTGCGTGTAACGCAAGCCATCTGTCAACACACAGTTCTAATGACCTCAGTGACTTCTTTGTTCCGCCGATTGTGCCCCAGTATGCGGGCATAACATCCTTCGGTTCGCATTGCAGGCGATGGTGACAGCCGGAAAGTACCAGAAAGCGCGGGGAAGGAAACTTGATCAACAATCAGTAAATTGCCATTGTGTGTCTGCGCCGACAGAGGAAAATCGTCTGCCTCAAGGCTGTTGGTCCATTTCCAAACCGGAATTACGTGCCGGAGTAGAGACAATTTTTATAAATTGCTTCGGCTGAGAACTCTCACACGATACAGAAGAGTAAGATTAGTTGTACAGCCTTTCGAAATGCCTCTGTCCCGAGGCAGAAGAGCGAGTTGACGGGCCTGAGTTGATTGAATATATCCTCCTTAGGCAGCAATTGTTCCACTCCCAGATATCATACAAGAAATAGTGCTTTGAATGATTTAGAGAAATGCTCGACCACTCTCGTTAGTGTAGATTTCTGCAACTCACAGACCCTCCCCATCCAATAACACTCTGGGCCGTTTTCTTGATCCCTCTGTTTGATGTTGTATCATTGTGCTGCGGAACATTGACAATGCCATCCAAAATGATTATCTGCCGACTGGGAGATGACGGCAAACACCTGTCAATCAGTCAAAGGAGTACAGTGCCAGTAAGCTCAAGACCGCTAGCGCACTTCTTCGAGCGTGTGTGATGGAGTCATAGAAGAGAGTTAATAGGTCTGGGCTCCGATGGGTAGAAGATTGCAAACCTGTGGCTGATGGAGGCGGCTCAGCGAAGATCGGCTGTGTCCTAGCGTAGCCAAAAACAACCAGTGATTTTCGTGCTTAGTACCAATCAAGCTTATGATCTGCAAAATGCCGGCTGGTATAAGGTGTTTACTTTGTAACCCAAACGTCGTCGGCTCGTATCCCGAAGACCTCACAGGATCCTCAACCGGCGCGCGACTGATGGTGGTCGCGTTGCAGCGAAACGTTGGGACTACATGCCAGTGCACAGATCGAATGATCCTAGTTGACCCTTTGTAGTTCGGAATTCCGATCTCATCAGACTTTCGATGTGATGCTGCCGCTTGGTGAACGTCATGGGGTTATTGTTGTTATCGGGTTTCTGCAACGAGAACCGCATTTGAAAAAAAACACATGAAATCGAGGGGATGTGCCACAAAAGTATAAAAATCGTTGGAACACTCGGACGACGTAGTCGATAGTTTCGAGGCCAACGATTTCGCATCTTCAGGTATAGCATCTGTCAACTAATGGAACCTGTGTCAAAAGGCTAACATCAATAGGGGTTGTGCGAACCTGCGTGACTACAAAAGGCTACCACAAAATGCTATGGCTTTCTACTCAGGCCTCATCGGGATCAACCACGGTGGAACGTGATCGGACACGGAGCATCGGATACAAAATTACCTGTTTTGTTTGAACGGAATCTGGAACCGCGACCTAACAACTTTCCTCCTCGTGCTCCGCGTTCATACATTGAGCGGGAACTGGCATCGATCACTACATCCCAAGGAAGGAGGAAATTGCTGTTTCGCAGGAATCCCCTGCATGACAGACCTGAAGAGAAGAAAACAAGAAAGTACGTAAACGTTGCAGGATGAGGTGTGGTAACTCTGATGGAAAAACAGGATACGGCTAACACACGCTAGCTGTATTTCAATACCCAGCATTTGATTGACCAAGCAACTAATTCAGGAAAGTTATTCAAAGAGCTATCACGACGCTGAATATGACGGTGACAATGTAATGCATTCGAACGGGCTACATTATAGTTTCCATGACATTGGCTGAAACTGAGATCCACAGACGCAGTAATCTAGACAGGTCAATTCTGTGTGGAGGCCCTAGAAACGGGGTAAAAGTGGAATGGAAGCGCATATTTCCTGACCACATGATCGGGTATCTCTACAGCCAAACCCCAGTGTATATCTTGGAGCCACAGTTCAAGATGATGGAGCATTCGAAGGATTAATTAATGTTAGTTAGAAGCACTCTACGAAAATCACCCGGTCGGCTTTCCTCCAAAGTTCCTCCTTGTTGTTGACCTGAACACTGGTACGACATCATTATGTTTGGGTAAGTGTGTCAAATTGTGGAGCGACAAACCAATCGGCCGACTGCGTCCGCAGCATTCTAGAAGACAACGGGTAACCCAGGTAGAAGGACCATCGACCGTATCAACGATCCTCTCATTAAGAACTATCATCATAGTCAACATGCATCCTCTAGTTGGCTAATGTTGCAATGCTTAGATCCCAATTTCCATCAGAATTCCCTTTCGATAAGCGAGTGGGACGTGTGATTTCCTCCAAAAGGAAATGCTACTCAAACGAAATTCGAGAACACCGGTCACGTTAAATCCGTTTGCATCCAACAATGTGAAAACAAATCGGTGTGTGCTCTGCTGAAATGAGAAGCATACTGAACGTTTGTAAAACACACTGAACGGCTAGGTGGCCCACTATGCTTCGTAATTTGAGTATCCAAGGTGGTCGGCCGATGTCGATTCAGCAACCATTACAGGCAGCCGCGCAATCGTCCAAAGAAGCCCTGCGTTGTGAATTCCAACTACTCGAGTGGTTTTACTTTCCATAATATCTGAATTTTCGATTGACTACTACTGCCATCTCTATAAGGTGAACCGAAACAGCTGATGTTCAGTTTCTGTGGCTGTATTCAGTCAGATGATTCAATTTCGCAAAGGAAACATTATGCAAGCATTGAACAAAGGAGCTAAGGTGCAAAAGCAGACAGAAAGCGATAGACAGAATATTTCGTGTGTAAAAGTTTAAGGATTAAAGATGCGGACGAGCGACATAACACGACGTTATGATCCAACAATAAGAATAAAAGTGATGGATAAGAAATGTAATAGGTTCTAGGTGAGGCAATGTAGTTACAGCAGTTTCTTCCGTTAGTTCTGAACATGTTGGGAATCCTTGCGAAGTGCGATAGAAAAGGTCGCAAGAAGACTGTCTCGACGATATATGTTTAATTCCACATGGTAGACAGCAGTCCGTAACGGTGTGGAGTTCGCGAGATGAACGTGCATTGCTCTTGAATGTTTATCTAATGTCATAAGGTTTTACATAAAGCTCGCCATCGCTTTTGTTTCTAACACCATCCGGTGACGAGTGGGTCAGACGTCTAGTTCGTAATTCAAAGGTCGAGCAGTATAATGATTGTAGAAGGTCTTAAATACAATTTGGTTTTTGTAGAGGTTTTTCTTATGGCAGTATACCTGACCTGCTGAGGCTGATGTTGCATTCTTGATGCTTCTTCACTGCATTTGGGCTAAACCAACTTGCACTTAAACTAGGTCCTTTTAAGCTGGATAAATTTCATTCCACTTTATTTGGTTTGTTCTGACTACCGGAATAATCTCCTATTAACTTTCCACGTTACTTACGGTAATTGTGCTTACCTTCGTTAACTTTATTGCGTTTGTAACATTTTCTGAGTTACCTCTGGACATTTTGTACGTATCGCGGATTCGTGGCTAAGCAACATATTTCATATGCTAATTCAAAGAAGAGTTATGTCTGCATAGCCGTATTCTTTAACCGATATATTTTATTTGAGAATGTCGTTTCAAGTGGTTGGCTGTTGTTTGACATCCCCGGTGTGGCTGCGCTTGATGTGCATGTTGACAAGGTGCCTACCTGTCCATCACCCGGTACCTCGTCCATACTGACTCCAGGAGACAGTTGGTCGTTGCTGGAGGGGACGGGGTGCACGGTCCTTGTGGTCGTGATAGGCTCGAAGAGTGATTCCATGCACCCAGTGTGGAGCAGACTACGGTCCAGCCACCGCCTTGTGTGCGCTTGATTCCCCAAACACAGCGTGCTTGTGTTTGCCTGTGAAGGAGTGTGGGCCGGCTCCGTTGATGAAACCTAGCTCCCATCCACATACCTCCCGGTCTTATTCCTTCAGGTTTACACTGGATATGGGGTGTGTGGATGGAGCTGTGGGTGGTGCAGCGCAAGCCATCCATGGTCCCTCTGTAGGCGCAGGCGTCCTGTGGCTGGCCACAGTGACAGGCAAATCCGAAACCGAATGCCGTCAACCATACCTGACCTGCAAACAACTGATGATGGTTGAGTGGCAGCGAATTGTCGCTATGCATTTTATAACGGAGACCAACACAAAATACTGCTATGTATTGTGCTATGCATGGTGTGTTGGTGATGATGTTTCAAGCTGGTAGATGACCGCACACGTAATGACTATTAAGACGCCGCATGGCATATCACAGCTTAGTAACTTCCAATATGCGCGATGGGAAGAGAAACTTAAGCGTGAAGCTGGAGCGAACCAGTATGTTTTCAGTGGAACCTAGTGGGACGAACGCAGCATTGCGACATCGCGAGCACCACGGGAAGCACGTTCGAGTAAAACACGAGCTTTGCGTCCATTCCATGGCATAACTTGACGACGTATTCAATTACTATTGACCATAGTCCAGGCAGGACAGCTCTACATAATAAGGTTAGGGAAAAAAGGTAGTTATTAACCCCGAATAGGGGACTTGTACATATTTACGCTGCAAAGGATTCAGAACGCTGACTCACCTGAGGAATGGGAATAGCTGAAATATTTTCCCAAAGCGTAGATTGACCAGGAAGGATAACGTGGAACTTCACCAATCAGCCAGTTGGACGCAGGAACGCCATCTTTGAATCGAACAGTGTACGAAACGGGTTGACTGCGTTCCGGCGATGAAGCCTCTGTGTTTCGCGACGCTGTCCTACTCTTGGATGGAATTAAGCGATTTGCCGCGCGTCGTCTTCCCGCCAAAACTCGATCCTCATCATCGTCTGCATCACTGTTGGAAAACTTTTCCCCAGACATAGAACTCGATTCAGCAGAAGTAGATAAAGGGGTGGAATCTTCTGAGGCAACTACAAGAAAAGAAGCACCGGTATCAGATATCATCCAAACACATGAAAATCGTGTATGTGACGGTGTGCATCGAATCAGCTCTCAGACACAGACCATGTCATCAAGTTGGTTGAGCCATCTATCACGCACCTGACATCAAACAAAGTTCGTCCGTATGGATTCTCTGAATCCGCCGAAGCCCTCGAGATTCGGCCGTAGGAACCGGGAACGTGTTCAGAAAACGCTCACAGAAATGTTAAAATATCCTTGAACCAATCAGATTTCGACGCCTAGTCCACGGAATCATGTAGAGGCTGCGGTACCCATTGAAAAAGGAACTTATTGTGGTGACCCTTAGTACGTACCTGCCAACACTTTTATCCGCATATAAATATGAAAGCCTGAAGGCGAATTATTCAAACGTTAGGATGCGGACGCTTAATATTTCAATTGGAGTCTTGCTACTGAAATATAAGTAGTAGTCGGTTGCGGTGTTTTGCGATATCCCTCTGCGAGTTGCATGGCATTGTGGGTAAGAGGCCAAGGGATACCAGCATTCACATTAGACTTAAGCCTCATTACTCACAACTCCACCCGCCTATCCACATTACACACAGCGAAAACCACAAGGAAAAGATCGGGAGGCGTTTGGACGGGAACAACGGTGGATTTGGAGTCTTCAGCAAGCACCTTACTGGCGGCAAATTTAAGCGAGCATGCGTAACCAAACGTGTACGATGCAGTGACAGACTCGTATCCTTTGATGTGCTAGAACATCATTCTGAACAAAGAAAAGCTAAGAAGACTTTTGAACTTCTAAGCGGTAGGGTCCTGTAAACAAGTCAAAGTGATGGTCATACACTGGAGTGATAACTACGAGTAGCAGCGACGCCCGTGAGGAACGCCAAAATTCTCAATCATCCATGGAAGCAACGGGATGTCAGTCTGCCAGTCAAACCTGGGATGTACAACGCGACAGTGAGACAGATATTACAGCTTAAATAGGAAATGTGACCACTTCGCGCCGAAGCAAGCGGCCGTCTTTGGTCATCGCTTTTTGTCGATTATCAATCACACCTGGCGGGAACATTTAATGAGCAAAGCGGACGCCAGCCAGCGGGTGTCAAGTTAGAAGCCTCATGAAGTATCTGTTAACCTAGAACCGCTTAGCAACTACCACTGCGCATGGAAGATGACACTTCGATCGGTGACGAAACGTAGGAAATCAAATGGTTAAACTCGATGAACAAGCAAACACTGATATTTCGTGCTACCGATCCGATTACGTTCGTTAGAGCATATCTTCTCAGTGATCGCAGACCAATCGCCTCATCGTGCATTATGTATTCAGCCGCAAGGTGGCCAATTGATGACGGGGCATAAAGATAAGAACGCACTGACCCAGGAAACGTGGTCAGGGTGGCGGCCTCGACTGGAGACATTGTCGGACATGGCGCAGTCTCGAGCTCACTGGTGCTCATCCGTTTCGTAGTGATTTTCATGAGGCCATCACCTTTGAACCGGTTTTCGAAACGCTGCAGTCCAACAGCTATCCAAATTACTTCATCAAGCGCTTTTGTGAAACGGGATCAATTGACAACTATTCAAAAGAAGTCGATGATCATTGAGATGTCGTCCTAAGATGACCACCTCATGGAAATCACCGTGAAGCTGATAAGCGTCTTACCCAAAAAAGTATTCAGTGTAACTGAACTACGAGTGCTTGCGTCGACCAGCCCATTACCTAAGTGTTCACGGTAGACACCAATGTCGAAGCAGTGCACGTCCTACGGTTTATAATGAGTTATCTATAGATTTCGATAACTAAGTTGAGGACACTGATCAAAGTCTGGATGTTCGAGCACTGCTCAAAGTCGTCATGTAAACGAATGGAATCTTTGACAGTTGACTCATCTGAGCCGCGAAGTAGTGCCGGCACAGAAACCATAAGGAATTTATTGAACACCAGTCATCAGGTCAATCCTAATGCGTCATATATAGTCCATATGACCAAGCAAAAGTCCCGCATACTCAAACTACTTGTGGCTTTCGCGAGCGTCCAATGTTGTGAGTACAAAAACAGTTTGCTGTGATACTAAGCTCACCGTGGTAGCGTAGACCATACCAACCAATCTAGCTCACCTGATCTGGTGCAGGTATGTGATTGGTAAGAATGACGGTCATCACACAGACTGGATCTAATGATTTGCTTACTTGGAAGAGGATTGTCATCAATCATGTGGAAATCAGGCATCGGCCTCAGGATTACAACGCAAGTGCGTAATCCTTTGGGCCATCGGTTCAAATCCGCATAAATGCGGACAACCTCGCGGTACATTCAGGCTTCGCGCAACTGATTGTGGTCGTGTGGCAGTGTAGCGTCGGTTCGGTTTGTCGGCGTACTACTAAGGCCAATATTACTAATTTTTCTGGCATGACCCGCATTTACTCAAGTGCACGCTGATTTCAAGCCGAAAGCCTGAATCACTCTGGCATTGGTCAGGCATTTGAATATAGCACATTGGAGAAGGCATCAGCAGTACGCCGGTACGCAGTACCGACACTTCGCTACCGCGAAACAACCACCGGTCGCACTGTCAATACACAGGCTCGAACCTGCGCTGCAAGATTACGAGACAAGCTCGTTACCACTAGGCTACGGGCCGGCACATTGAAAGGGTGTTCAGTTCTTTTGGGAATGGAGCCAAGTACCTACAAGATCTAGCTACCTCTCTCAATTCATCCTACCAATCGATAACATGGCGTACTACGAACAAATAAATGGGACCCAAACAAAGCATAAGCCACTGTGCAAGTATTGGTGGCCGAGTTATTCGGCGGCTAAACAAGCTTTTCAATTGGCAATCGTGAGATCATTTATCCAAAACTAAGTTTATCCAACCTCAGCTAGAGTTCAAATAAGCGATAAGCCGACACTAGAGTGCAAAATTGAGTAGGGGACGATTACTCACAAAAGGTTCTTTTCCCTGAATACAGTACGAAATACCAAGAGACTTTCATTGTTTCTCGGGGCCAATTTTGACCATCAACCAACGGAAATAATTTGAAGTAAAATTCCCAGGATGAAAGATACCCTTAGCAGAGTGGAAACATCTGATGTGATACATTAGATCTGCTTTTGAAACTGTGACAGGTGCTATGTAGGACAAATAGGAAAAAGCTTGAAACAAGGCTACGTGAACACAGCCTAGTCATTCGCCGTCACGATCAGAACTCCCTGATATCCGTGTCCATGAATGTCAAAACCAATAATTCGACATGGAGCACCTCAAAATCCTCAGAAGAGAAAAAGTTGAATTCATCGAAGCTTGGCATCCGAATTAAAACTCGCTAAATAAGCACTTGGATCTAGAGGTTGCCGAAGTGAACAAACCCCTTGAAGCCGCAATGATGATGTAGAAGAAAGAAGATATCATCGGTACACCGTACCGAAGCTTTGCTGCCACGCAGCTACCATTAGTCGAGCGGGGGGAAGAGACGCTACGAGGCCGTCCGTACCTACGCAGATTCGAACCAGTGATTTTTGTTACAAAGTAGACGTGTCATAGCATCGGCGACCAGCCGATAAGCCAGTCGGTCAGCTCGGAGAACAACACAAAATATACAACCGCAACCTGAGCTACAGATATTCTCCACCATGTCTGTGTACAGCCGTTTACTAGCACTTTCGGAAGCATGTCGTCTCCCACCAGCTCCGCTGATGGGATGACGTTCGGGTGCGATAAGATTAGTTTGTCGTTTGTTTAAGTGATTCAAAAGAAAAAGCTTCAGAAGCCAAAAAAATGTCGCTGTTAATGGAAATGCCACCATTTTGTTTACACGTCTCTGTGGAACACGTTGACTGTCTCAGAAAAGCTGTGTTGTCAATGAGTAGTACCCACGCAAGAGAATGGTTACACTTAGATAAAATGGTCTGTACCAGTGTGACGAGCACAGTATCTCATGCCAATGAGAAATATGTTCATCAATGCGATTAGCAACGTTCGTAAGTCGTATCGCAGTGGAAGATGAGACGCGCTATATCGCAACTGGCTTGTAAATCATTACGGTCAAATACTGTCTCTCGTGGCATGAGCTGCTGGTGGTCATGGGCTCGAATCCTGATGGATCCGATGGATGCGCACTACTGATGATGCCCTATAGGCTGAAAATGCAGTCTAGTGCTTTTCCGGCATGTGGACGACTATCTGATTTGGAAGCTGGCTGCGGAGAACCTCAATTAATTACATCAAAAGCCCCTAAATTTCAATACATCAAACCATTTCCGTCCTAACAGTTTCTAAATGCTATGTCGTACCTAGCTACTGTTAGTAGACGTCGTGTCTTTCGCAGCCAACCCTGTCCTCTGCAACGTTCGTAACTTGCATGGCAGTGGGGGATAAGACGCGATATACATCGCAGTTAGCTTGTAAATCATGACGGTTTGAAGCTATCCCCCGTGATCCAGCGGCATAAGCTGCTGACTGGCGGTGCAAGCCGCGGGTGGTCATGGGTTCCAATCCTGATGGATGCGCACTATTGACGATGCCCAACAAGCTAAAAAGGTAGTCGAATGCTTTTCCGGGCATGTGGAAGACTATCTCATTTGGAAACTGGAGCGAAGAACTTCAAATAACCAAAAATAGTACCTAACCTCATTAATTATAACGCCGTTATGCGACTACTCGGACATGTCGGTGAAATATCATCGTGATAAATGGGCAAAACCTTAGGTCCTTGGGGTCCAGTAAGCAAAACAAGGCAACCTGTGGGAGTAGTAGTCTCATCATAATCAACTGTTACTGACACAGAGAATGACATAGTTCTTGGGTTCAATTGTTCGCCGAGCTTCCTAAATGACATACAAACATTTCATCGTCATACGTGGTGAATTCCTCAGTGTGCAGCTGGGTCAAACGCAATATTTATATATATATATATATATATATATTTATTCACAGTCTGTTAACAGACATTGTGCCATCAGAACCATGGCAGAAGAAAAAGGTGAAGAAGATGG